GCAGAGGGAGGCTGTGAACGCCGGGCGCTGCTCCCGTTGTTGGGGAGCCCCGGGGTCCTTATCGCTGCCAAGCCCCATCTCCTCACCACCCCCTCCTCCTTTCCGTGCCCCCTCCTCGTGTCTGAAGGGTGTGTTTCACACTGATTGCAGGCAGCTTGCCCAGGATTTGGTGATGAGCGCGGATGCTGGGGGTGGCTCGTCCAGCGCCGCTGCAGAGCTGTGTGAGGATGAGGATGGCGTTTACTTCAGCTCCTACGGGCATTATGGGATACACGAAGAGATGCTAAAGGTTAGAAAGTCGACTCAACTACACCTTGCTAGGACTAAAGAGGAAAGATGGAATGAAGTGGGCTCTGTGCCTATAAATACACTGCAGAGCAGCTGCATTTTTAACCCTTTCTGTACATGGCTGGTCGTTTCCTTAGTTGGGATGAGAGATCTTTTCTCAGTTTTATTTCCTTTGTATAAATTATGTTTATGGGAAGCATTAGGGACATAAAATCATTTACTCTGCACATATGCTTCAAGATATATTATAATATCTGTTCTACAAACTTACCTTGCCAAGAGCAGCTTTTTCCTGGGTACTTTAAAAGATAAAGGATAAAACATGGTAGAGACAGTGAATATTTTTGTTTTATGTTTTCCTAACAGTTGGAATTTGTTACACAAGGCCTTTTCTCAAATATTATGGTTTCCTACTCCAATAGGTAAACAGAATTTGTGGGTATTTGTGCACAGGTCAGTGTATTGATAAAATTACATTGAACACATGGAAAAATCATATGCTTCATTTATATCATGAAGGTGAAAAGTTAAGTCTCAAACATCTTCAAAGGCAGACTGTGCATGCCCTTTTAACTGTAAAAAGACAGCCAAACACAAAACCCAGCAATTTATAATTGATATGTAAATCAAAATCTCATAATGCTTCCTTTCAGAGAAACCATTATAGCTGTGAAAGTCAAACAGTTTTTATCATTTTAAGGCATAAATAAATTAAATTCCTGCCTAAGGTAGGGATAGAATAATGAGTTTTGAAGTGACTTTGTCCATATAGGTAGCATATAAACTTTTCTTTGTAAATCGTTTAGTTGCCACATGTTAAGACTAGTATAAGCATGAGTTAATTTTGAGGGAGGATTTTATAGAAGCACAGAGATACCTGCAGAAATAGAAGAATGTTTTACAGAATGTGTAGTCTAGAGAAATATAATTTAAATCTTGGAGATAAATAAAAATTGCAGAAGCTTGGTTTTGCAGTTATGTGAACGTGTCGTTTGAGATGTGACAGGCTATAGGATGAGCAATCCTTTCTCTTTGCTGATAAAGTTTGTGATAATTCCACGTTTGCACAAGGAGATAGAAAATTGTGGCTTATTGGTTTCAGGGAATGTTTGTTAGAATACTTTCAAGACTTTTTACTGTATGAAAACAATTGCTTTTTATCAGGTGTCCATTGAATTTTTTTGCTATATTCTAGGCATTAATATCGTTTAAATGTCATTTATATAAATACAGTGGCTTGCTACATGGAAGTTCTTAAGAAAGGAGCCTTGCTGTCTGAATTTTAAGTCTGTTTCTGACGTTGTTCAGTTTTGAAACTTTTTTTTTTTTCCTTAGGCCTGGTAGTGGTAGAATGAAGTTTCATTTGGTTTTTTTTGCTACAAATCCTTCAGAGATGAGGAAAGAATATTGTTACCTAAGGCTGGCCAAACGTATTAGACCTCACTCTGTTTTGCTTGAGAATTTCTGGACTATCATCTTAACAGATTTCCTCAACATTTTATTTAAAAACAAAAAGGAAAAAAAGCCTTGCCTGGAAATGGTGAGTGAGGGACTGGAATTGATGGATGGAGCGACGGCGGCTCGCTCGAGCAGCCGCGCGTGTAGCAGGGGCAGCAGCTCCAGTTCTATTGATTGAGTCGGGGCAGTGCTGAGGCAGTGGAGTGGGCAGGGTGTGAGGCTGACAGCTTTCCAGCTGGCTGCTTTCTCGATTGATGCTGAACATTCCTTTTCTTTTTTTAACTTTTTTAGTTGTTTCAGCAAATCCTGTTGTATAGTGTGATAGATGTGAAGTACTAAAAATAGTTGCCCTGAATATAACATCATAGTAAACCAGTATGATTTTAAAGGATCATGGTTTCTTTTACTCCTTTTAGTTATATATAATTTTCATGTACAATCTTCTAAAACAATTCCTAGTTCTTTCTTTGGGCTCTGTGCATGTGATAATACTAAAGTTCAGCCTGGATTTTAGGGTTTTAAAGCGACAAAATAATACGCTTTGTCTCCAGAATTTTTCTGAACATATCCTTTGTACTCAGTCTCTGTTGTTCATCTTGTTTTTCTAATAAAATAGATTGTTCTTTCTCACTAGAGAAAATTTATGTGGTTTCTGCATTGTTTCTAAAAATTCATACTTGCTATACTAAAAAATATTAACTTAAATGTAAGTAGCTGGGCTTTATACTTCAGTATTATTTATAGATGTGTCTTCAGTAGATAAAAACCACTTATGATTTTTCTTTTACTTTGGCCTAACACTTGAACTGCAGCAGCAATTCTGAAACCTATACTCGACTGTCAATTTGGGTACCTGCTGATGCATATTGAGAGTCAATGTTTTAATAGATTACCTTGCCAGTAGATTGAGCTATATTGCTAGCTTTTGTACACTAAGATACTATTTATGTTTAGGTGTATGCTTGAAACCATTCCAGCTTCTCAGGTCATGTGGTATTATGATTAAGTTTATTTATTTACTTTTTTGTGTCTTCATGAACTGGGCTGTCCAGCTTGAGTTAATAGCTTGTCTTCAGGTTTGCAAATTTGCAGTTTGTCCAGAAATAGAAGAAGCCCATCTGAGCCATAACTTTTTTTTTTTTCTGACAGAATCTGTGTTAGGAGAGTGTCAGAGAAGAAAATGATACAAAATATTTTAAGACCTTGTGACTCAGATTTTTACCATTGAGTAGCCAGTGTTTAGCTGAAGTTGTTACAGTATTGCCACTATATTGCTGCTGTTCTTGGAAAGTGGAAAGAACTTTGAAACATCCAAAATCAACCTAAGTAGAAGAAGTGAATACTTGTTTTATTCCTTCAATCGTAGGATAAAGTGCGTACAGAAAGCTATCGTGACTTCATCTATCAAAACTCACACCTCTTCCAGGACAAGGTAAGGAAAACAGCTCAGAAAATGCAATAATTTCTCTACATTTTTTCTCAAGTGGTAGAAATCCTTCAGGTTGGCTCCTTTGTAGCTTTGGGACTGGATTATCGTGCTGACAAGGTTTGATTTAATGTCCTGGGGCTTTACGAGGTGGTGGAGTGCTGTTGAGCTGCTGGAGGGTGCAGAGTGCTGATAACAGAAGTGCTGATCACTGTTGTCATTGTTCTGTGCGCCTGTGTCAGGGTGCTCATTAATTATGTTGGTGAGGTTAAGTTGAGCCTTTCTTCTTCAGTACATTAAGTGGAATCTAGCTTAGGGGACCTGTTTACCAGAATTTAGGTGAATTTCAATTTGTGCCTGCTACAAACATCCTGGAAGTGCTGTGTAATTACAATTTGGGAAGAATTCATATGCACTGATTTACTGAATTAGCATGGTTTAGTCTCTCCAGACTAGGTTATTATTTAAGGGGCTTAGAACCAGGAACTGCTATTTCACTTGCAGCGAGGAGAGAGTGCCCTGACTTTGGTTTGTGATCTCACTGTGGTTATGAGCCTGTGCTGTGAATGATTCTTTTTGTTCTCAGTGTTCTGCAGGCTGGTTCTGGTGTTGGTTGTGTTCTGAGCTGGGCTCTGCAGCTCTCTGCTCTGGTTTACTTTCCCTCTACTTAGCACTTAACATTCTTAAGCTGCATTTCTTAATGTGGAATCAGGATGTTGAGGTTTATGGAAGGAAACCAGTGCTGATTTTTATTTTGGTTTTGGTTGAGCTTTTGTTTATAAGTGATGAGGCTTCAAAATAGCGGTGGAAGTGATAAAAGTGCACCCATCTGGTAATTCTTTGGTTGGAAATTGTGCTAAATGTGGTTTTTGTCCTAGGTGGGAGGTTATTTCAAGGAAAATAGCACATACTCTTTGAAGTTTTACTTCAGTTTTCTTTTGGCAACTACAACAGAAGAATGTTAGGAAAAGTGTTTTATTCCTTTTTTTTGCTTCAGTCCATGTCTCAAGCCTGGTTTTAAGCATTTCTAAGCTCTATAGTTATAATGTGAGAACAAGCAAAAGTGTTGTAGAAACATTATGGTGCCAGCTACCTAAAGGATGTGGGTGACTGCATAGCTGGGCAGCTCATCCAACAAAGCACAAAGATCAATGAAGGCAGGAGAACTTCAGTGGAAGAAGTTTGGTTTCACAAACACCTATAAAGATGATAACTGCAGGTTTTCACAGAGTAAGACTGATCCTAAATTACATGGAATGTGTCTCCTAATGGAAGACTAGTTTTTCAGAAATTGGTTGTATTTTTCCTCTGCTATATGGACATATTGGGCAACAACAAAAAAGTTCCATGAACAGGAGAAAAGGGATTATAGCCTGAGCAGTTTTAATCAGTGTGTCACTAATGACTGCGTTTGGACATACTGGTAACATTGGAAACAAAATGTGGATGAGCTGTACAGACAACACAGCTTCAGCCCCAGCTGCAGATGCACTTGCTCAGGAAACAGTGAGAGAACATGTGTGCTTAGGCTGTTTTTACTTCAAGTGAAAGCATTCAGCCTCTGAGCTTCTCTGTTATTGCCACATTTACAAACTGGTTTCTGAACTTGGTGGGTTTTGATGGGAGATTACCTCAGATTCATAGTGTATCCAAACCCATCATAGTGTGTTGAGAATCCTTTTTGCTTTTACCCTCAACAGCTTTGAGTTCCCAGCATGTTCCACCCAGGTGACCCCTTCCCGACTTCTGTGTCTGACTAAATGTTGATTTAGCTTTCACTTAGTGTGTTGTTCTGGACAATATAAGGGATTTTTTTTCAGAAATGTGGCTTTGAAGTGACATCTGTCATAGATTTTTGCCTAACTTATGGTTCTGAGAGCATCATATGGTACATATTAATGAATGGAACTTCCAACTTGAAAAAATAGGCTGTTTTCCCTTAAAGTTTGATTACAATTTAAAAAAAAAAAAAATAAATTTGACAAGCCTGATACAGTGTTTCCTAGAAATCCCACGTGGTGTTCCTCCCTGGAAAACACATAGTGAGTTTTTTTTGTTGTTTCTGAAAGGACATCTGTGAGGTGGCTTGAGAGAGGAGCTTGTTCAAAGAGCTTAATTGGTCGTACTGGCTTTTGGTGAGATTCAGCAGTATGCCAGAGAGGTGTGATTGCATGGTAACAGATGATACAGAATATCTAGGTTTGTTTGTTAGATCTAATTTATTCAGAACCAGCAATTTGCTTGTTCTCTTTCAGCTTTAAAAATAAATTATTAAAACTTGAATGAGTCCTGCTTGGTGCCTTTATTTTCAACCTGTCACATATACTTGAGAGTAGGACAATTTGGGTGATGTAGCAGGAGTAGTTGGGGTGGCCTTAGTAAAGGGAAGTGTGATCCATTTTACAGTGAGTAGTTTTTTTATGGAGAAAATAATTGGTCAGAAAACTGCTGTTGCCATGCTCACTTTTTGTTGTAGAGTGAAAGTCAGAGGCAGACACTGTTGCCATATTGAGAGGAAAACAAAAAGAGGTTTTAAATATTCCTATTAAAAGTTTGCTGATGGAATTAATTGGCCAAATTACCTCATGTCATTCTTTTCCAAATTCGGAGTGATTTTTTTTTTCTGTTAATAGAATATCAGTTTGGATTAGGCTGCAGAGAAGGATGTGGTGCTGTGGTATATCATGGTGTAGTCCAATCACCAGCCCAGCTGCTCCAGAGCTCCAGTGAGAGACCGTATGTGATCACCACAAGAATGTGTTGGCTGTAGACCCTTGGCCTTAGGCTAATTGGTGATCATTCTGCTTGTCCTGCTGTTTCTCAGATGTGTTCCAGCTTGTGTGTTTTCTCTGCTGTGCCTTTCTCTCTACCCCCATCCCCTGCCTAAGGCTAGATGAGTTCCATCTGGGTTTTTAAGTGACCAGGGCAGCTGTTCAAAGTGGTGTCTGTTTTGATTTCTTTCCAATTTGTGGTGATTGCTCTCTTTCATGCAACTGTACGTCAAGATCATTCTTTCAGAGATTTATTTTTGGCTCTGGCTTCCAGCTTTCATGGCTCAGCAGTTTTGTTAGCTACCATGGGTAAAAGAGTTAGACTAGATGATACTAGTCTGTGTGAGATTTCAGCAGCTGCAGGGACATTGATTTTCACTTTCTATTCCAGTCTCCAGAAGACTTTAGCCTAGGGATTTATGTAGCCGTTAGATACTTACACATAACCTATGAATGAGTTGTAGAATTGACTCCTGTTGGGACACTGCTGCCAAGACCTGCAAGTGGAACAAGTAACTCTGTCTGCAACTTCTGTGACCAGCCTCTACATGAGATGCTGTAAAAAAATTCATCATGCTGATGGTTTTTAGTCTGATTCCAGATGATAAGTTGCTCTATCAAGACAGGTGGCAGTCAGCTCCTCAGTCATTGCTTCCCAGTACACCACAGCAGAAGCTCTCCTACACTGTGCTGCTAAGGATAAATAGCTGGGTTTATTCATGCTGGCTTCAGTCACGGTTCTGTATCCACCATCAGAACGTGCAGAATTGTATGGAAGGGAAGGGAGGCAGACTTAATGTGCAGAGCTTTTGAGTATTTACTCTGGCACCAGTTGTCAGATGAAGTTTCCAAGTGCACGTGCAGGTTTCTGTTCTGCTAGAGCAAGAACGCTCAACAGCTCATAAGCTGGAAAGTTTGTCAGCAGGGTGCATTATTGCCTTGAAATATTTTGTAATATGGGGATATAATTCTCAAGTGTGGGATTGATCACTGAGTGATTTGATACCACCTTTGGAAAAAAACTTAAAGTCACGGAAGCTGTGAGGGCAGCTTCCACAACTCAGGGTGCTCTGCTAAGGAGAGACAGCAAAATAAGTTAGTTGTCCTTCCTAATAAATTATTTTATGACTAGTAATTATGACCCAATGTTCTTGGTATCTTCAAAGTGTCTCAGTAAGTTGTCCTGACCCTTGTTTAGTTCTCTTGTATGAAAAGGAGGTCTGTCTCTTCTGACTCTGTTAATGCTGAAGTGCTGTGCATGTTATGAGTGAGTATACATAGTGTTTAGTAGTCTTTTTGTTTGTTTTCAGGTGTCAGAAAGTTATTTGGTTTAGTGCTTAGAATTTTTTATCACTATTAGTAAAGCCTAACTATATTAAGTGGAAGTCTAATACTAACACTGCTGATGATCTGCCCAGTGCAACAGCATGAACCCTCAGCAAATGTGCAGATGATGCAAAGCTGGGACGAGTGCTGGATGCACCACATGGTAGTGATGCCATTCAGAAGGATCTCCACAGGCTGGAGAAATGGGCCAACAGGGTCCTGTGCAGAGGGCTCAGGGCAATCAAAGGGTACTGCAAAATCCTGCAGAGGGGAGGCAAGAATAACCCCACACATGAAGAGAGGCTGGGGGCCTGCTGGCTGGAAAGCAGCTTGGCAGAGAAGAATCTGGGGGTCCTGATCAACACCAAGCTGACCATGAGCCAGCAGCAGACATTTCTGTTGCAAAGACAGTCTTAGCAAGTGTTTCCAGGTGTTAAAACTGTGCCAGTTACCATTTTGAAATTCAGTCATGTTGAACCACAACTGTTTTGAGGCAATGTTGCTATTTCTAGCAGAGGATTCCTAAAGAAAGTTTCTGGATAAGCTCTTAATGAGAAAATGCAGTGAGTTTGTTGTTCCAGTGCCAGTGCTAAATTTGATCATCAGTGATACACTGATTAAAAATGCTCAGGCTGTAATTTCCTGGTTCCCCTGTTCATGGAACTTGTAGTTGTGGCCCAGATAATTGCGTGTGATAGTTTCCTGTGGAATTGCTCTGATCTGCAGCTGGAGCTACTTGGCTTCATTGTCTATCTGTGAAAGACAGTAGAGAGCTTGGAATTGGAACTGCAGTTGGACTTGGACCTCTCCAAATGTAGCAGTAAGACTTGGTGCTACCATTGGTTCTTTGTGTTAGAATGTGGTATCTCACCAATGTAGAAACACATGTAGAAAAGTCATGTTAAGGGAAATCAGATGTTTATTTTCACTTTGATTTCTTTGTTTCAGGTGGTGCTGGATGTTGGCTGTGGAACTGGAATACTCTCCATGTTCGCTGCCAAAGCAGGCGCCAGGAAGGTGATTGGAGTCGACCAATCTGAAATCATCTATCAGGCCATGGACATCATTAGGTAGGAAAAGCTCCAAGAAAAGTATGGTAAATATTGCTGTAAAAAGTATTAAAATGCTGCTAGGAGTTAATGAACATCTGTCACTCAGTATGTGTTAGCAAATGAACCCAAAAAAAAATTAATTCATTTTAGAGCATTCACACACGCACACAGTGTGCAGAGTCTCTGAGAAAAGCTGTTTCCAGGAGACCTGTAGCCATGTTTCATGCCATGTAAACTGCCATGGAATAGTACAGGGTGGAACACACACTGGGGGAGTGTGGGGAGTGCATCTTGTCCAGTCATCCTCTGCCAGAGCAAGCTCAGCTCCAGGAGGTGCCTTAGCTAGTCAAGTTCTGAACATAGCCACTTCTGTTTGAACTTCTGTGTAAAGTGAGTCTCTTTACCTAGCATCACTCTTACTGTTGAAAAAACAAATGGTAACTTCTCTTGTTCCAATTAGTGTCTGTTTTCTGTCGTCCAGCTCCTGTAATACAAGAGAAGAACTTGGCTTTGTCTCTCTTCACCCTTCTAGACTGAGGCAGAAACCATCCCTTAATGCTTAACAAACCCAGTTCTCTGACCTTCTCCCTGTATGTTATGTGCTCCATCCCATTTATCTTGGTGGCCCCTTCACTGGACTTGCTCTAATATGTCAAGGTCTTTCTCGTACTAGGGAGCCCACAACTGGACACTGCACTCCAGAAGCAGTTCTGAAAGTGTCAGGTGGAGGGGAAAGATCACTTTCCTTGACATGCTGCTACCCTCTGTAGACAGTTGGCCAGTTTTGCTACAGGGGCACACTGCAGACTCATTTTCAACTTGTTGACCAGGCCCCTTGTTGGGGCAGGGTGAGGGACAGCAAGCAAAGCTGATGTCTGACCAGGAGGAACCAGTCTGTACTGGTTCATGAATTTATTCCAGCCAAGGTGTAGGTCCTCATCTTTGCCTGTGTGGGATCTCAGAGGTTCCTATCAGCCCATATCTGCAGTCTGAGATGCCTCTAAGTAGCAGCCCTACCCTCTAGCATATAAGCTTCTCTCTTCTAATTCAGCATTACCCACAAACTTGCTGATGGTGCTTTTTGTCCATTAGGTCACTAAGAAAGGTGTTAATTAGTATCAGAACTAGCATTGAATCCTGAGGGTCACCTCTGATACCCAGATACCAATTAGACTTTGAACTTCTTCTCTCACCTCTGGCACCTCATGGTCTGGACAGCTTTCCACCCATCTGATGCTTCATTTATCAACCTCACATTTCACTGATGTACCTAAATTCACTAAATTAGACTGAGTATTTGTAAAAATGAAGCAATGGCATCTAAAGACTTGAAAGGGACTTCTTAGTATGAGGTAGGAGAAGTGTGAGTGTGAATGTGTACTGTTGTTAGCTGAGGTGTGGAAGGTGTTTTGTTTTGGTTGGTTTTGGAAGAGCAGCCATGGAAAAGAAAGTCCAGGTAGATCATGAGGAACTGGGAAGTGGCAACTTTTATGCAAGCCTATATAAGATTGCCTAGGCAGAATTTTTAACTTGGATACCACCTTACACATTGGAGGTTAAGCACTGCACACTTGGATGCTGTAGAATTATTCTAATAAATGAGTACCTGTTTAGGAACAGTACCACACTAAGCACTAGGTGCAACTTCAACTGAAATGCTTTTATGGCACAAGGACTTCTCCTCTAAAGGGAACTTTTCTTATAAGTCCTTGACATCTTCAGAATGGTTACAAATATGGAAGTGTTTTATTTCTAATGTACCAGATGACAAACTTGGGATTGTTCACATCTTGCAACGAGTGCACAAAAAGTCCTTTGTGTTATTTATACCTGGAGGAGGATGGAAGTATCAGCCAACATGTATTACCTTTGGTGAAGGGAAGGGCAGGCCTTTAAGAAAAAGAACAAATCAAACCTCTTAAGCTCTTAAGAGTGACGAATTGCCACTGGAAGTATATGGTGAGCCATCAGTAAGGCTACGCATTTATAGTTACCTTCTGCTGTTAAAGGTTCAATTCACATTAAAGTCTTCAGTTCACATCAAAACAATTTGTGTTTGTCTTGTTAAACTTATTTTTCCTAAAGGAATAAAGCTGACAAACTTGTAATGGAGGAATGAATGTTTATTGGAATACTAAACAACTGTGTAGCTTAAGAGTGACTGCTGCAATGTGGTTCCACCTGGGATTTCAGTGTCTGCCCAAGAGCTCTTGTCCCTCCCAGAATTCAGGTTCATTTCTAGCATGCTCATTACTACAAACAGTGCAACCCATGTGCATAAGGGAACTGGAATAAGTGGCCTGATTCTTTCCCAGGGTGCCAAGTAAACTCCTTTCTCACTAAAACCATACCTTTTTCATTGCTGTGAGTAGCTGCCCATAAAATTTGTAGTGCAGTGAAGAGCTTGTTTTTTGTCATTCATAACTGCTCTGCTAGAATAGAATGTTGAAGTATACTTCATAAATAGCAGGAAAAACCTCCAAGATGTTATGTGTAAACTATGTTGGTTTGTTGGGGGTTTTATACCTTAATATTAAAAATGAGTATGTAATGAATTAGTCTTTTTCTTCTCTTCTGTTTTAAATCATGTCTTTGCATGTGGTCATTTAGGAATTTATCCTTAATTCTCTCTTCATCCTTCTTAAAATGCTGTGGGTGATAGCTCTTTAGCATTTTGTTTCTCACTTGGAACTTCTGGTTTTACTTCTTCTGTAGCATGAAGTGTGGCATTACCAATGAACTGCTACTCTTCTAACAGATGATTATCATGTTTAGAGTATTTAATTGGTCTTTCCAAGAGCCCACGTGTTCAAGTAGCCTTTGACCCTTTCTTTTGCCTCCCTTCATTCCGATTGTTCTCCCATTGTCTTTTCGATTGAATTTGTAATGTGGTGACTGGTCTGCATTGGAAGCCAGGCAGAATGCAAGAGTAAGATATCAGAATAGGGAGGCAAGGAAAAAAGATAAGAACTGCAGTGGAAAGATAAATTTATTTGGTGGGAATACTTTTCTGACATCTCTAAGAACAGCTATTGTAATAATGGCATGTGCAAGAAAGACTTACAGGGTTTGCCAAGAAGAAAAATACTGAATTTCAAGCATTTGTGTTTAGTCAGTGCACTGTCATGCAGGTTTTGTTTCAAAAACTGTAGTCATGTTACAATATCTTCCTCTTTATACAGGATGGCTGTACTGTTCCTGGCATATGAGGGAGTACCTGATTACTGCAGTTCCTAAACACTGCAGATGATTTTGACCAAAATCACAGTGGGAGGGATGCCTTTATTGTGGAGTAACTGCAATCCTGATCTAGAGGGAATGTTTGCTCTCAATGACTTTGCAGCTACTTTTGTTAAATAAAAAAACCAAGCCATGCAAAGCAGCTTAGTAGAAGTTGATTTCTCTTGCTCTTCTAGTGTGATGAGTAGGCTCTCATCACTGTCGACTTAGGCTAGGGGGTCAAAGAAGGAAAACTGGGAAAAAGCAACTCTTAAGTAAAAAGGAGTGTCATTTTAAATTGCCCTCTTGTCTATTTCCCTGGTTTCTTGCACATTGGTATGCACAGCACACAGGAGGTGTACAGACCTGCTGCCTGCTGGTCTTGCCTGGCACTTAGGCTCATGCAAGTTTTGGCTACTTGGAAACACCCTCTGAAATGTAACTAAGAGTAATATTACATTTTAGTGCTTTCTTGATTAGTTAAAGAAAAAAGTTATTGGGGGAAGGATTGCAAAACATAGACATCAGCGTATCTCTCTTGACAACATAATTTGGAAGTATAAACTAATTTTGTTTATGTTATGACTTGCAGATTAAACAAACTTGAAAATGTCATTACATTAGTCAAAGGAAGAATTGAAGAAGTAGATTTGCCTTTGGAAAAAGTGGATGTAATTATATCTGAATGGATGGTAAGGTGGATGAATATTCTTTTTCAGACATTTTCAGGAAAATTGTGTTATTTAATTTGAAAGATTATTCTTTAAACAATGCTGGTTTTGAACCAAAAATCTGTCGTGCTTGCAACAGTGTCTTTGACAGCGTGGGAAATGGGTTGACCGTGCTGATTGCGGTACCTGGATACAATTCCTGCTCCTCTTTTTCATGCTCTTTCAAGTTAAGGTTCTTGAAGTAGAGTTGAGCTGTTCAAGGTGCAGCAGTAAGTTTCTCTTAGGTAGCTAGTATGCACATCTACAGAGGCACACAGCAATGCTGTTGTAGCCACTTGGGTGAAAGTAATGGAGAAATACTGTAGTAGGCATCCAGCTAGATCATTCTGATGAGTGAAATACCTGCAGTCCACAATGACAGCTGAAGACCATTTAGGGAAGGCAGTGGGGAAGTGAGGAGCATATGCACTGGGAAATCTGCAAATATAGAAAGAACTTGAAAACAGTTCTACAGTTTATTGCTGTTTTTTAGTGTAAGAATAGAATAACTGATTCGAAAAGAGGATAATGAAAATGGTGATTCTAGTAAAGAAACTTGTGGGGCAAGACCCAGTGCCAGACTGAACTTCATACTGGTTAAATAAGTCTGGTCCCTATCAAAAATGTGGTAGGAGGCTTTGTGGACTTCTGCTAGTCAGTCTTTTCACATCACAGGCTTCAAAAAGCATTCCAAAATACAGGTGTTCTTCATGCTAGCTCCCACTGCGTGGAATTAGAGAAATTCTTTTGTCCTTCAATTTTAAGATCAA